GCCATTGATGTTTACAAATGGGTCCTGGTATAAAAAAAGTTGAGAACCACTGGCACAGAACATAGTCTTACCTAGGGCATGATAGACACAGTATGGGGGAAGGGGGAGAGAACGAAGAGCAACTGGTGAAACTGAAGAAAAAAAAGAGGCTGAGTATGAAGAAGAAATTCACAGTGGCCACCCATTAGGCTGTTGATTAATCTCCAGAGGCAAGCAGTAGAAGCTGCAGTCCTTGCAAATTTTATACTGAAACAATGCAAAGTTTGTGACAACACTGCATAAAAAAACGATGCACTGTATAGTGGACTAAGCTTTCTGCTGGCACAATATAGCCGGCAGGTAGCTTACAGCTCATTATTTTATATTCATATGAAGTCACTGATAGCCTTCTTGTGGGGTCATTTTGTGTTTGGTGCTGTACAAACACAAGAGCCAACCTGCCTCCAGTCTGCAAGAGCTCAGTCTATAATTCCTTGAGCTCTCAAAACAACTCTCAATATAATACTCTGAGAAATCAATATAATTCTCTGAGCTCTCAATACAACTCTCACTGCAAGCTCATATCACATATATGTTGCATGCTTATAGCTAGATCTAACATTTACTTACACATACCAGCATCCACATTACAACGTCTACTTTTTCCTCATGCAAGTCAGTATTTCACTGATCATTCCTAATGCATACATTAAATTGAGGGAGCTGAAAAATAATATTCAGTCATTTTTTTAGAACAGCGAAGGATAAAGGATAAAAAATTATTTTGAAGATATAGAAGAACCCACACAACACAGGCACACACAGTTACAAGTTATGAGTGCATTTTAACCTCCTTTGTATTTTTTTTTTTTTTTGCTTTTACTATCACTACCAGCAGATTAGACTGCGCTGGTTGCTTTAGACATCAAACACAGAGTCATTCTATCACAGGGGGGGTCTTTAACAAAGCCCTCCTCCCTGTACCCTCCCACTGCATTCACTTGCAAATCACTGTATGCCTGGAAGAGCCAGCTTTCCCCAGCCCTTAACCTTCCCATACTGAGTGCTGCAGCTCCAGAAGCGGCGGCAGCAGCACACTGTCTGTGTGTGTGTGTGAGTGTGTGTTGAGTGTGTGCAATGTGAGGGAGGGAGGATTTTCTTCCTTTTTTTTTTTATTAATCAGGAGTACTGAATGGAAACCAATCAGATAGAGAGCCCCCTCGGCTTCGGCTCCCTGCATGCTAGAGTTAAAAGTGATGCTGGGAGAGAGGGAGCCCCACTTAGATGTCAGTAGATTCAGCAGTGGAGGTGAGAGGCAAGAGTGGAGAAAAGCAGGCAGAGAAGCAGCCCTGCTACCACACTGACCACTGTATTACTGAATGAGAACTGAGCACTTGTCCTCTTTCTTCTCTTCTTACCGGTAAGGAGATCAGACTTTGGACTTGTTTAGAGCAAGTTGAACCGTAGCAGGCAGCAAGCAGATGCTGGGGTTTTGTTTCTTGTAAATGCTTTTTCTTTTCCCTTTTTTTAAAAAAAGCTACTTATTTGGCAAAGTTGGCAGCTCACTTACTAGTAGATGCAGGGATCCATCTGCCCTGTTTTGAACTGTTTGTGCATGGATACGCCACTGCGTACTAGCAATTCTTGTGTTTTCGGGGAGTGCTTTTGCTGTCATGTGAAGCAGGGCACATGAATGCAGCATCCTCCTGAAAATTAATGCCATGAGTAAAATATTTCAGGCAAAAAGTGTGTGGGGGTGGGAGGGGGGCAGAGTGGAATAAAAAGCAGAAGCTTATTAATAAAGTGCAGGAAAATATCAAACCAAGCCTGCTGCCGGTTCCAAGAGGCTTAGGTGTGCTATTGAAATGAATAATATTCAGAGCTGCACGGGGAGCTCAGCTGGATGTAGGTGCTTCCTCGAAAAAGAAAAGTTGGGGGGAGTGGGGGTTGTCGAGCTGGAGAGGGTACAAAAACTGACAAATGTGAAATCCTTTATTTGCTAATGGCAGGTTGGGGAGGGACTGGAAGGGGGGAGGCATTTTACAGAACAGAAGTTGAATCATTACAGAAAGAAGACCTGAATTCATGGCTAGTGGTAAATGTTTTAGAGGAATTGGCAACACTAACTCTTGTGCATTATAAGTGACATTTCTGTACTCATATAGACACACAGATAGCACTGTGCATTTTGATTATATATACATATACATAATAGGTATAGCACTCTTATTGAGCATGTATGTGTGTACTCAATAGATATAGCACTCTACATGCATTATTATTTTTATCCACACACACTAAATATCTACCATTCTATATGTATATCTATCATTCTATGCAAAGAGTTGAGTCAGGAGATAAGCAATCACGGTAGAGGTCAGTAGCTGTGGAAAGAAGTGTTGTCACTGCTGCAATAAAATCCATATTTTATGGAGAGTTAAATGCAGTACTTTGTAAGTGCAAGTGATGGTCACCTAAGTAACTCCTGCTGACATTCAAGGATCAAGAACTTTAATGACCAAAATTACTTCCAGCATGACAGCACATCTGCTACTTTTATTCAAAAAGAGAAGATGAGAGACTGTCCACCTGATTACAACATCTGTGTTTTAAAGTTTTGTCACCATTGTAAAGAAAGGTCCTCTAGCCAAATTACTGACTAACTGTAAGGTCAACCCTTTCCTTAATTCTTTAAACAAAACTAGGAAGAAGTATACCAATTTAGAAATATGCGAGGATAGTTCTCAGACACATGAGTACTCTGTGTATTGTGTATGTGTACACATATACACCCTTGTATGGAGAGAGATAATTGTTGTGATGTTCAGTCTTTTGTAGGACCACTTTTATTAGCATCCTGGAAAGAATTTGGTTAGGATATAAGACTTTAATTTGATTGAGGGAGTTATTTCATGTATTTGCTGGGGTGAAATTTCTACTGTGCTATCAGTTTGGTGTGAAAGTGCTTGCATATTACTTTAAGCATTCCATACAATTGATTAACATCTATTCCTGAGCAGTATAATGCTAAGGGCAATGGCACATCCCTATTTCTTTCTCTATTTCCTTTTTAAAGGCAATTGAGGCAGCAAGTTTGCATGTGGGAGGAGAGTGGGGTAGGAGGGGGAGGCTGGGGATCAAGAGCAAGTAGATTCATTCATCATGGATATACACAGTTTTTATAGACCTGCCAGAAAAGATCCAATTGGATAGTTTCCTAAAACATCCCAAATGTGCTAATAAACACTGCAGGACTGAATCCCTTTCTTCTTGTCCTCTCAGATGTTATCTGACAGGGCAATGATAAATATATAATCAACTATGCTTCTGGCTTTAAACTGCACTGTGATCTTTCTGGACACATTCCTAGTGGCTTACAAATGACTTTTGAGGTGAGGGGAAGCAGCCAGTTTCTTCAGAGCAACATAATCAGAGGCACAATGCATTTTCAAGGAAAATGGCATTGATTCAGTTCTGCTGTAGTTCTCTGCAATTATCCTTTGCAGCCATTTAAGAATCTGGCAAGCTGGGGTCCCCATAGGGACTTATTAGTCCCTTTAGGTATTTTAGCTTTCACACCAGTTCACAGCTCTCACATATCTCAGTGCCAACACTCTAAAGATTACATTTATAGGCACAGTCATCATTTTCTACCAAGTTGTTCAGTTGGAAATATGCATCTTCACTTCTGCCCCCCCATCTCTGCACTGCTCTCCCATGCAAGCAGTAACCTGCTGTTAAAGACAGCCTTGTCTTTTGTAAAGTTTGCGATTTGCAATCTGCTGTTTCACAATATTTAGCTAAGCAACTTCCTTGAAAACAAAACACACACACGTTTTTTAAAACTGCTTTTCTCTGCCGCATTATTTTTTTTAACTAATATGCACTTGACCGAAGTTCCAGGCATGCGTGTCCTGCTGACCAGCCTATACTCCCTCTACCTTGGCCCTGAAATAGGATGAAGTTAATATTTCACTGAAAGACATGCTGCGTTCCTTGAGACATGGCTCCCTTTGATCCCCATCCTCTCAGCTCTGTTAATTTATTGTTGTCTTGAGTGAAAGCTTCAGCACATCAATTTTCTTCTTGTTGCAGACTCACGGGATGGTTTGGGGTTGGAAAGGATCTCTGTTGGGCCATCTGCATCGTGTCTCTACGTTGTAGTGACAAGGCTGATATAATGATCAGTTCCTAGAAGAGCACAGCCATCCAGCCTATGGTTAAGTGAACCAGTGTGTTCCAGCTCTAGCTTGACTTTTAAGCATGCCATCTATGTGGAGTACTTTTAACAATGTTCAATTTCTAGTGCAATCTTACAATATTAAGGTTTAAGAAGATGAGGAAACTGTGTATGGATCTCTCTGGAAAAAATGGCCAATTACTAAATGACAGGTAACTGAAGTCTATAAAAACAACTTGGCAAAACACATTGGTAGCAGGCCCTGCTGTGATGGTGTCTCATGTTGCATAATGGCTAATTCCTCCAATGGCTGTGCCTCAATTATGCAAAAATGAAGTAAGAATGGTTTGCATTGTTTTTTTGATTACCATTATAATACAAGAAAGGGTATGGAAAGACTGTGCCTCTGAAGTATTGTGGTGGACAGATTTCTTAAGTAACCCCTTGAAGACCTGCATAGCTGCTCTAGCAATAGTGGTTTACTCCACGGTTTTTAGCTTTTGTAGTCATTCGGCCACACAACTCATAAGCTGGCCAATGACCTTCAGCAGTGATTATTAGTACTGTTGCTTGGGGATCTACACTATTCCCTTCCTGCATAAATAACTTAAGGTCTTTAAAAATAAGTTCCTGAAACTGTGAATTAGATGAACAGCTCTTGTGAGCTGTTAAATTAATATTTACTGCTGACTCTGTGCAGGATCCAACGGGCTTGGTTCTAAAGTCTGAAAGGTGTACCATTTGAAAGGTGTACCAGTTGAGATATAATCTGGCAGAAGCTGGTTTGTTCACGTTACTTGCTTAGTCATGGCAACCCATTCTGAGGAGTCTGAAGGAATCACAGTCTTTAGTTTGTAAGGATAGAGAAATGACCTAATCTGAAATGTTGTCTTTTTTTTTCTTAATAATGTTTAAACTCAACTGCTGTCTGCCTTATTTGCCTAACAAAAAGGCACAAAAGCAGATTATCAGTCCCTATTTCAGTTAAAAATCCTTGAATAATGCACAGTAAATTCAGAGCATGAGGAGCATTATGCTAACAAGGGAAACTGAAAAAAAGTCATTATCTGTCAGTTGTATTGTTTGTGACACTCTGCAGAACTTGATTTTAAAAAAAAGGAATTAAAAACGATGGGAAAAGTTTTGCTTTGGGGTTCTTCCCCCAGTCTTTCACTTTTCTCATTTGAATTTCATCTTAAAGCTCCTTTTCTCCTTCCCTAGGATACATCCTTCAGTGAAAACACTCCCAGTGGAGTGCTGGATTATTTCCCAGGCCCATGTTCTAAACTTCTGTAAGGAGACAACATTTTCCCTGTTTGCCCTTCCTCAAATCAGTATTGGCCTGGTTCTGATCACTCTTACAATAGCAAAAGTCCATGAACTTCAGTGGAGTCATTCTTTATTTACATTGATGGCATTCAGAAACCAAGCCTGTTGTGTTTGTCCTGGGTGCTCCTATTTGTCAAAATTGTCTTTTGTTACTCCCTTGACCCCCACCCCCTTACATATCTAACAAATAAAGAATGGCACTGGCCATTTAAAGGACCTCTACCAATAATATTTTTGAAGGCACGTTCGCTGATGAGAGTACAATTTACACACATAATACAGAAAGGTTATGGATTACCCATAATGGTTGAATTAATTCTAATGCATTTTATTAGAAGCTGACTGCAATCCCCAGGATCTTCCCATACCACCAAATATTTTCTTCCTTCAAGAGGCTGCATCCTAGCAGCTAACCAGTCTCCCTGAGGAGTGCTAAAGTTGTTTGGAGCCCATAGAACTATCTTAAATCAACCGGAGGGGGTGAGGCTGAGCGATGAGAGATATTGGGTGCATCTACATGTTCATTAATGCACCGC